CTTTGAATGATATTAAAGAAGGCTGTCCTGAGGTGTGCGTGTATGCTACGTGTGCGTGTCCAATGTGTGTGCTTATGCCTGAGGTGTGTGTGCGGGGTGTGTGTCCTTGGCCTAATCCTGTGATAACCAGACCTGGACGCCTGAGGCAGGGGAACGGAAGGAGGGCTGGGCAGGGAGGAGAAAGTACGGATGGATCGGGGCCAGACGCAGGGGTTTCGTCAACAACAGAGATCTGTGGAGATGACTTTCAGTCTGAAGACTCAAAGAGTCTGGTGGCTGAGGGGGATTCAAACACGAGTTTCTGCCTCTTTCTCCTTGATATCCAAGGATTTGGCTTGAATGGAGGAGTTTCCTTGTGAAAGTTATTGTATGTTTACTCTCAGGGTTTATCCCCAAAACACATTGTATGTATTCTACGGGTCCAACACTCGACAAACAATGCCCAGTAGCCCTGGCTTTAGTCACACATAGGGTGGCAATAAATTATATATTGAATAATAACCCTTTTTTTAGAAGTTATAAAAATATAAAAAATCAACTATCAATTCTATCACTATATGTCACGAAATGGGTTTTAGACAGAAGGTGTGTCTCTATTCAGGGTCTGCATCCTGCGGAGGCTGCATATTAAGACTGATTATCCATTGAGCCGTTGACAAACCTTTTTTTAAAGAGGTATTAGCGAAGGCAAGCAACGAGACATTCGATACTTGAGTATCACACTTCAACTCATTCGAACAGCTAATTTTACAAATAAATTCCAACTACAGCTCTGTTGCTAGGCAGGAAGTTTATGACGCAGATCATGGAAATCCTTGGTAGACCAGACAATCTCATTTTGGTTCAGCCTTTGCGGTCGGCACAGTCCATGAAGACCACTTCCTTCGTTTCAAGACCACTTGGCCTTGTTTTAGGTTAGGGTTAGGGTTAGGCTGAAAGAACATTATAATTTTTCCTTATTGTCCAATGAAGCAATGCACTACATTTCCTCATGGACTCAAGCTTTTGGCTCACTAAATACATAGTTTTGTTTGTTATATACGTTAATAAAATGGGGAATAACTAATTAGGATGAATCTTATATAATGTTTAGAAATGTGTTCATGTTAAAATGATAAAATGTTCTTTGATGCCTTGAGGAAATGTATCCACAGATTTACATTAATTCTATTAAGATTTTTGAGTATAATAAAACTAATATGTAGTGTGAAATCTGAATCTGCTGCACCCTACACAGGTTACTATTGTATAATACCTTTTCTACCCTCTTGTAGCAGAAAAATGCAGACTCCCAGAAAAAGCTAAATATATTTCTAATTTCTTCTATGATTTGCTTATCATAAAATCACCTTCCTCTCAAAGGCCTCTAATGGTGAAGTGTTGGGGCAACAGTATTTTTAGTGGAAGCAGTCTGAGGTCTGTCTTTACTGAGACTGGTGTTGTTTTGGTAGAAGGTGGAGGGAGTGGAGCTGGAGGAGAATCGGTTGGCTAGAGAGAGATCCCTGCTGACAGGCTGTACATAATTGATTGTTTATCTGTCTGCAGCCTGAGTATCAGCAGTCAGTGAGGAAATACCTACTCACACACACACACACACACACACACACAAAACAGCTCACACACATGCACACACACCAGCTCGCACACACACACACAAGCATTTTAGAGATTAAGCTGGTGATTCACACATGTACAGACTTGTAATAAGCAAAATAACCTCACCATCCTATATACCTAAAATTACAAGTTATCTGTGACCAAACTCAGAACCCATCAGCTGTAGTCTGAAGACGAATTAGCCTTTGGGGGTGAAGGACAATATTTTGCAGTTTCAGGTGTAGACAGTGGATATCCGATATACTCTACTCAACTACCATTGGGCATATACAGTTTACTATCCAACTAGTTTCTTTTATCACACAAGTTGAAAGTTTTTCAACAAAAAATGGAAACAGTGGTACTATTTGTAGCTCTGAAACAAGCTGATATTTTTTGGTCAATGTGTTTTGCTTCTTTTACTCTCGACACGGACTGTTTACTTGCGGGCAACCAAACCCGTCTCAAACATGATTGGTCAAACTAGAAACGTAAACCAGAAAGCTTCCAACCTCAAAAACTTGTCCCTTGCTTACACACACACACACACACACACACACACACACACACACACTCCTCGCCTGTCGGTCCAGAATGACAGTTAGTTTTATGCTCTGGCAGATGTGACCTTGGGGGAAAAACACACCTTATTATCTTTCCTCTCTGCTGTGTTCCTTTTACTGTTTTATATACCCATGAGCAGACTTAAATTCTGCCCAACTGCAGGCGAGTCTGTGTGTGTATGTGTGTGTGTGTGTGTGTGTGATGCAGCAGTAAGAGCGGAGTGGCTGGCCCTCCTTAGAGCCCTTCAATCCATCTCTCTCGCACATGCACACATACATCATACCCTCGATGGAGGAGCTCATCACAATGTCACTTTCAATTTGGATGAGCCTCCGGTCTGTTCAGGAGATATAATGGATTGGATGATGGCAGGAAAACGGACGACGCAGCTCAGGTCTCCTGCAACAATCATTCAGATGTTTGAATCCCCTCACTCTTCAGTTTCCGTATCTTTCAATCCTCAGACATCATGTCTTTCCCAGTCACTTACATTGGAAACACTCCATGTTGTGGGAAAAATATGAATACACTTTTCAAAGAATATTGCATATCTGTTGTTGGGCAACACTCCAGAGATCTGCTTCATGTCTGAAGATGTGCCAGAGATATCAGCAGAGAGAAATGATATTCCATCTATCAAAAGTCCAAACTGCTGCCCCCAGATTAGCTCCAGTCTTTGTATTATAACCTTTTCTAATGGGACTCAGCTGATGATGTGTCATTTTAGCAACCTCTATAAGTTCTCAGTTCTCTTTAAATATATAAATATAGTACTTAAAAAAGATTTTCTGACATTATTACTTCATGTTTTTAACATGCTGTAGTTAGGGAAAGAACGCTGTTCCCCAAGAGACAGATTTCATGATTGGTTTCTGATTTGTTTCCTTTTGAGACGTGACAGGAAACTCTGATTTCAGAATGTTGAATTATTTTTCAGAACTGATGTAGTGTTCAGTAAGAAAAGCGAATATTTATGTTTTAAATTTTTTTTTAAAAAGTGATGACTATTCTTCTTTATGAATCTAGAATTGGATGATATTTTCAGTTGATTTTTGCAGTTTGAGTGTTACAGTGGCAGTTTGGATGAAGAATAAAAACCTTCGAAACATTTCACTGTGTAAAAAATACATGATGGATGCTCCAGAGGATAAGACCAGAGGAGTTCAGTGGGTCAGTACAGTGTGATGCCCTCTAGTTTAAGGAGGGTAAACATTTATGTCTGGCGGTTCACAACACTAATATGCAAGAGTGAAGCTGGACTACAGATGGTGGATTTACTTGGAGAGAGTTAACTGTTTGTCAGCAGTAATAGAGACTAGAAACCATGTGCTGATAATACTGTAATAATAGATCTAATAGATAAATCAACCCATTTATCGCTAATGGAAATTGGTATTCACACTCGCACAAGTTCCTGACAATTAGGAGAAACACAGGATGAGATATGAACGAAAGAATAAGGAAACTTATCTTTAGATTGGCTCATATACAGCATTTCATTTCTTCATTTTCATTTCTCCATCTACTTGTTTCGAAACTCTTTTCATCCCCGTAAAAAATAACGATGCTTCTTTTTCCACTATTATAATGTTGATGACTTTTGAAGGTAACACAAGTGGTGGGCCATATTATCTTAATGGTCTGTTCTCTATTGCATCATCCACTGAACTTTTCATGTTAGGAAAAAAGACACTAGGGACACACCTCACTTTTTATAAATCTATCACCAAATATTTAAAGTACTTTACCCATTTAAAAAGTGTAGTTTCTCATCTTTGTATTATATTCCTGAAATATAACCTAATCCTAAATATAGACTTTACTGTCTGTGTGAAAACGTAATTTCACTTCTCCTACTGTTTTTTTCCCCACTGTTTTAACAGCTCCGTTTTCTGCTTCGCTCAGCACTGAGTTCATGGTATTTTTTCACATGGTATCATTTCTGCATTTGTACCTGGACTGCAGTTTAGCAGCATATCCTCCAGGCTTTTTTTACATTGTATTTTTCCACCTTTGTGTCCTGTATCCTGAGGCGCAGAGATTTGTTTGTTAGTTGGATAGAGTGCGGTCATCGCGGTCTGTGGTCATCATTCAACCTAGTCAGTGATTCATTCAACACACTGCATCAACTAACTCAAGAGCAGCAGCAACAAGAACTTTGGGATTCCTGCTTCCTTTGGTGCTTAATCACCAAATGTTTAAATTTACAACATGTTAAACTACAGGGCCAACGGCTCATAAATGCAAAATACAATGCAAGATGGGACCTTTTTAATGTTTAGGTACAAATCTGATCATTTATTTTCAGTTGTTATGAAGCTCAGATTTATCATCGAGCCTGGTCCATCCCTCATTTTGTCCCAAACAAATGTCACAAATTAGGGGACAACATCTGAGACAATTTTTTAATGACTAGTCATGATGGGAGAAATGGCTTGTCACTGACATCTTATGACTAGATCACACAGCTGTTGTCACTATCAAGTTATTTAACCCAAGAATGAGACTAAAATCTTATTTCAGGGACGTAAAAGAAATCAACAGCTGGCAGCGACCGTTCTTTATATTCATGTCTGTATATGAAATGTATATATGGAGAACCACTCAGCTAATCAACTTCACATTTGATAAGTGTGTCCTTCGTGGTTATGGGAAGTGCAGTGTTGAATCTGGTGTGATTGGAAGAAAATAAATGATCAAGTGTTATTAGTTGTGGTTTGCCGATGTAAGGATACGGACATGTTAACTTCTGCTGCTGCTTGGTTTCCACATGTTTACAGTGGGATATACAATACAAATGTGTGCATGACTAAACACTGATGTGTTGTCTCCTTCTTCAGAGCATGATGAGTGCCTCAGCGGACTCCACAACTGTGACGATAACGCCTTGTGCTTCAACATGGTTGGAGGCCACAGTTGCTCCTGTAAGCCCGGCTACACTGGGAATGGAACAGTGTGCAAAGGTGAGCATCACTGTGTTAGTGTTGATATTTATCGTGACATTTATTTATTTGTTGTGCTATTTAAGTGTCCAGACCTCATGGACCTACAAGACATCAAAAAATGTTTAAACAGTGGAGACATTTTTGTCGAACAAAACCTTAAATCACCTTACCGGGGTTAGGGTTAGGCCCAAGGTCTACGAATAAAATCTGCAGCAAAAATGTTCCCCTCATAAAAACAGCTCAGGTTATTTAGATTCATTCATCCTGCACTCATTCAGTTTGACAGGTTCTGCCTTATGTAGGTTTGTACCAAACATAAACAGACCTTCTCTTACTCCTAGGCCACACTGGATGCATGAGCAGTGCAAGGAAAATCTTGCTTTTCATTTTGGTGCCCATGTTATCAGGTTAGAGTGGTCACACTGCTCATGATAGCTTAAGTCTCCCCTGTTAAGTGCCGCGTGTGGTTCACAGCAACATAGTCAATGAAAACAATCTTTCCACACAGTTTAATGTCCGCCTGCTGAATGTCACATGACACATTTGCAACACCTCCCTTTTAAAGTAAAAGCACTCTGTTGTGACTTTTGACTTAATCCATTCATTTGTTTTAAAAGGGTTTTATTTTGATTGCAGGACCAGAGGATGCAAAGCTTCGTAGCATAGAGTCCTGGTGTTTAGTTGAGTACATAGTCCACTTTTATCTGAGGAAATACAGTGATCATACCAGAAACCTCACACAGCAGCTCCGCAGCAGTCATGCAGCCTGTATGAACAACAGACATGCGCGAGATGCAGCAGATCAGCGACGCAGACGTCACACACTGCACACTCACCCTGTGTGGCCAGTGCACACAGAGGAATTGGTGCATAATGAACGTTATCATCAGAAGTCATACAAATGAGAATCAGTAATCCAGGGATGTCCTTGAAACATGTCACAGTTAAGAAATCTTTTTAGTTCAGGCACATCCACGACTTTGCTCTAAAGTCGACTCATCTCATATTCATGTCTGACATTTGAAGGTTCCCGTCTCCTCGTCACCACCATATAAACTGTGCTGTGGTCGTTCCTGCTGAATAGCCTATGAGCCAGGTTTAATGGGCTTCTCTGTGTTTGCTCTTCTGTTTGTACAGAATTGACTTGATCTTAGCTGGTTGATTAATCACTGTGATTAGGAAAGGGACTGCAGAGGTTTTTACACATAACAGAAGTTGACAACTCATAGGGAGCATTCTACACACTTTTATAATGTCTTCACTCACTCTAGAGTCTGGAACTAACTAATCATGCTTACTATTTTCTTGATCAGTCACTAAAAGAATATTTAAAAGTGGATCAAAATTCTCATTACATTTTCAAAAAGCTGATGTCATTAAGTTTCTTCTTTTCTCCAACCAATGAGCTAAGAGCCCTAATTGAAGGAAAGTGACATTTCTGCTTGGAATTGCTAACAAAAAAGAATTGATTGCCAAGTTGCTGATTATTATTCTGTCAATGGAGTAATTGGTTCATTGACTAACCAGCTTTAAAGTAACCCTAATGGTGTCAATGTGATGTCATTAGTTAATCCTGCTTCAGCTAGCGAGGGTGGGGGAAAGACGTAAACAGAATATGGTGCTGGGAAGTCTGGGATCCAGTATTTTTGGATCTTGATATGATCAGGATATAAAATATGTATATAAATACATTTCCATTTATCCGCCTTGCTGTTCTATTTTTTTTAATTTTGTCTCTTGTGAGGGCTCCAACTTTACAGAAGTGCAATAATTGTTAAAAGAAATTTGAAACACTGTGTGATACTCCTTTTTACTGGATTGGATTTCTTTTGTTTTATCCTTCTTATTCTTTGCTCTATTACATTAATTCTCATTAAATCCTGTCACCTACAATGACTTGTCTGTGTTTTGTGGACACATTAACTAAGAGTCTACCTACGGATAATGAACATTTTTTAAATTAACCTTGGTGAGACGCATTAATCACGCGGAATCATTTTGCGCGAGCCTGTAATGAATCACATCACTAAATTAGCTCTTATTCTGTATGCAAATACATATGCTGCTGCTGGTCTAATTACGTAGTTAGTGCTCGTTAATCTTAGTGAGAAATGGCTCTTCTCTTCTCGTCAACCTCTAGCTATGTGTGACGGCTTGTGCCAGAACGGAGGAACCTGCGTCTCACCTAACAACTGCGTTTGCCAGCAAGGATTTACTGGGAAGAGATGCGAGACAGGTAAGGACTTAATCTCCACTCCTACGATTTCTCTCCTCAAAAATAGCTCGAGGAGCACTTCTGACTGGATGTTTAGGTCGGGACGAGAGGCAGGAAGAAGAGGTGACGTGAATTGAGGGGGTGTTTCTTCACGTCCACCGGGAAAAAGACTAAAGGAAAGAGGAGAGATCAAAGGTGTAGCTTCAGTTTTCTTGGCGTTTCTGGGCTTTTGTTTAAGCAGGCAGTGATTATTCTTACTTTGTGCAGCTGTCTTTGCTCTGACCTCCACAAAACAGCTGATCTGTAAATGCTGAGATCATTTCAACGTGTGTGTTTGAAAAGTGTTCGTGGCTGTGTGTGTGTCTGCGAGATGCGTCAGACTGTGTGGGTCTGTGTTCCGTGGTGAATAATGAGCTTGTACCTCTTCCAATGGCCCGGTGGAGGATTTGAACTGCAGTTGCAGCAGTATGGGAATTACCCTATATCACAGCCCATATTAATCAGCATGGCGTTCCTCCTCCACCTCCTAAATAACAGCCGCATCAATTTCTGATGCACAATATCTGATCGGGCACGATAGCTTAACCAGGTATTAAGTCAGCTTGTGTTTACAGCACATCACAACTTGCTCTCGTGCTTAGAAATATGTCATACACAGCGTTATGATAAGACTCAGGGCTTTGGATCCTATTCAGTATGTTTACACCTGCAGCACTGGCGATTTAAGGTAACTGATGAAGACTATAATCCTGGTAGTTGTGCCGGCTGTACAGTAGATCTGATCCATAGCAGCAACACTTCTCATGGCCCATTCCGACCCTTTGTGGAGTGTCCTTCAGGAGACCAACGGCCGACTTAATGGAAAGTCAAGTCACCACGGTTTATCCTGGTGCATGCGCTTTTGTTTGAGTGAAGCAAACGCGGCCTCTCTGCTTGCTCACTGGTTCAGATATTGATTGCGCATAAAGGATTTTTTTTTACGAGGCGTCCTTTTTACTGCCTATCTTAAAGTAAATGAATTTCCTCATGCTACTGTTCTGAGATGCTTAGGAGGATGAGAAAGAGCGAACGAGTGTGTGTCTGTGTGAGAGAGAGACACACACAGCGAACGTGTTAACACATCTAAACCATAATGACTTATCCTCCTCCCTATTTTGCAGCAGAAAAGGTTCTGAGGACCTCGTCCCTCAGTAATGGCACGAGAGCCAGGCAATCACACATTTCATTACCCTCCAGAGTATTTAAGATCCCTGCCCTTTTTCTTGCTGCCTTTCTCTCTCACAATACTCTCTTTTGTAAGTGTTCTGCAAATCAAAACGGTTCCAACACAGTCCATCCAGGGAGAAATCTCACAATATGTACCTGAGTTTTGTCCAAGGTGATTCTTTTCATCACCTCACAGCTCAGCAACAGAAATCTGCAAATACATTTCTTTGGTACAAAAATGTATTTCTGTTTTCATCAGATTGCAAGATGAGTTTTGCATTTGAGGATGAGTTTTCGTCTTCAATCGTGCATATTTTCATTCACAACTAAAGTTACTGTAAGTCAGATAGACAATAAAAACCATGACACCAGGTCGTGTCTGTCTTTCTTGATTTATTCAGAATATTTCCATTTATTTAGTGTAAACAGTCATTGTTGTATTTGAAATTACCGTTTTAAGTATAAGTTTAAGGTATATTAGGATTATCAGGGTCCCATCCAGTCACGTATTTCTTTCTTTCAATCTTCTCCTTCTTCTCCTACTCTCTGCTCATTTGTCCCTGCCTGAGCTCTGTCTTCCATTTCCTATGTGTACTTTGACTTTTTTACTTTGGTCCATGCCCCATCCATTAACATGGAGGAGGCGGGGTGTATGACCCACACTTCAGCCAGCCACCAGGTGGTTATCAAGATGCTTTGGCTTTAGTTTTGAGGAGCTGTCATATTATCATCTTTATTATTTATACCATCTATGCTTTGGATGGGTGGATGAATGGGCAGATGGATGGATGGATGGCAAATTGTTAAAGTAGTCGCTCAACCTTTGCATGTGGTGTGTTGTAGTGATGAATTTTAGTGGTGAAGTATATAATGTATAACTCACCAACTCATATTTGGTCAATGCAAATTTTGGACCCTGTACGCATGAGAAATTTCACAGTGTCACTCAAAACAACTGAACACGGTGTCACAGATAATAATACATTCCAAATATCTTTTAGTATTTCTAGCATCTGCTTTGTGTGAGATCTCTGTCAGAGTGTCCCTCATTAGTTTTGATTATATCTAATTGATATCTCCATGTGAAACACAACAACAGTATCTAGTTAGGCCCTTTAATTTCTAATTCATCCAGACTTGTATGTCTTGATGTCTATCTATTAGATTCTGCCTTTACTCCACTTAAACACAAGTCAATTGAATTCTATTGATGTAAAATGTATTAAATTCCACAAACCTAGCCTATATTGTATTTAGATGATATAGATTCCAGTGAGAAAATATGTTTCATTATAGTTTGTGTGAATTCAATCTTTAAGACATGACAGTCAAACAACTGTATGCAAAGAATTTCCTCCATTAATACAGTTGTCTGTTTCCTAATCCCTCACTGATGTTAATCAGCAGATGAGTGATTGGTAGCTCTGGGATCAGTCTGTTTTTAGGCTCTGCGTTCTTCATCGAGTCTGTTTGGAATTTGAGGTTTGGGAACGCAAACACAACAAGCTTGTGTGCACAAAACTCTTGCACACTCCTCATGCCTCAAGCGACAAAATGTTTGTCACCACAGCTGCTGCTGCTGCTTTGTGCATGTCCCTCTCTTTCTGTCTCCTCCCTCCGATCCCATCCAAGTCAGCTCTGTGACAGCTACCATTGTCATTTCTTTTTTTGAACTCGTGGTTTAATAGTCCAGGACCAACGTCAAGGTCCCTCGCTACAGGACTAAAGCCTCTGTCACTGTTTAGAGACTTCACCAATCTTTCAGTTTGAGGGGGGTGTATGGCATCTTACTGGTTCCTCAGAGTGACAGGAGCTCCCAGTGAGAGAAGTGCCTACTGGAGAAAATGTATGGAGGTTAATGTACTATTGGATTTGCTGCTCTAGCACGGGGGGAGGAGGGGGATGGAGAAAAATAGTTAGGGGAGAAGAGATGGAGATGTACGGGGAGAGTGACGGATATAGAGAGAGAGAGAGAGGAAAAAGAGAGGTAACGACTGGATGGGGGGGGTGAGAGGAGGTGAAGTGGAAAGGAAGATACGGGGCGATGTTGGGAAAAACTGACAGATGCGGAGATGGAGTGGGAAATGCAAGGAGAGAGATGAGTGGTATAGGGGTTAGTGAGTTTCATCCGCATTTGGATGCAGAATGAGGCTGGTGGAGTCTGTGCTCTTGCAGGAGGAGGAGAGGCAGAGCTGGGTGGATGAACATGGAAAAGCTTTCACTGAGTCTGGGCTCACCCCCCCCCAGAACCCTGTGAGCTTTTAGAGGCCTCCCCAGGGACGCCACCACTTCTGCTGCTGCAGCGGCAGACTGGCGGCCTGTCATGAGACACTGAGCGGCAGCTCTTCAAGGCGGTGCAGATACACGCGCACTCCACCAAGCATCCACGCACGCGAACACACACATTCGGGGGTGAGAATATGCTAACAGCTTGCTGATTGTCAACCTTACGCCCCGTTTCAAATAGCTTCTTTTCAGTGTGTTTGTGCATACATGTGCTATTCTGTGTACATTTGTGTCTGACTGTGTGTAATTGTGCACGCATGCAGATGTGTGTTAATGTGTTGTCCCTCTCTGGTGTGCTTGCGCTCGCTGACTTGTCATTACCATTCAGGGGGAATGGATTGCGAGGGACAGGGGACACGCAGTGCTGACAGACAGACACCAGCTAGTGGAGAACTCTGACACATCATGAATTATGCAGGATACAGCTGTGGAAGGGCACATACACTTCAGTCATGGATATAAATGTACACACGGCCAGCCATGTAATTGTTGATGTTGGAGCCCCAGGCTGGTATTATTCCTTATATGGCTCTAGTGAGAGACGGGCAACTGCTGGAATATTATGTTTAGTTTTCATCCATTTTCCTCCTTATGGCTTTGAGAAACTGAAAATAAAAATGTGCAACAGTAGCTGTGAGGACGTTCCAGAGTTATTTAACACCTGTTAAAGCCTATGGTGTTTTTAACCTCTAGTGTTTTGACGCCAGATAGAAGAGATCTGACACAAAATGTGAGCTCATGTAAAAGAACAAGGAGATCATTATTTTGTGAGAATAATCATATTTTCAAAAATAATAAAAATGTTCCTCCAAATTCAGTGTTTCATTAAGTGATAGATTGTAACTGAGTCCATTCGTTATAAAGCAGTTATTTGAGATGTTTTAGCTCCTTCTCTGGCTCTGGTTGTCCTTTGCTGCCTGACAATCTCGGAAGTGTTAAAAAAATTGTCATATTGAGTTGTGTTGAAGTACAATTAATTATTCAATTTATTTGGGTCTATGCTGCAAAATGTTTTACTTTTAAATTTGAAATCAGACAAAAAATGAATTCTGCTCTGAAGTCTGGGCCTTGGGTTTCTTAACAGAAATTGAATTTAGATGTGTTTGTCAAAGAGCATTTGTATGGACCTCTACAAACCTTTTTATGTGCTTGTCTAAAATGTTAATAATAATAAAAGCAATATATTTTGTGTAGCACTTTTCTTCACAAAGTTACAAAATGTTTCACAAAGGGATCAAACGATAATACAACAGAAAAATTAAATCCAGACAATCATGTAAATTAAATTAAATACAAATTGTGCTCATAATTATAATATAATGATAATAATAATAATAATAATAATAATGGTCTTTGAGTACAAAATTAACTTACTTACCTACTTTAAGTCAAGTCAACAACAACAACCAGCGTTTTAAGCTTTCAACATTTTACATTATAAAATTTAGTGGGTAGTGGGGTAGAAATTAAATCTGATGTTTTTCATATTGCATGTTGAGCTTCAAATTATGGTATGGTAAAAAAAAACA